ACACACACACACACACACACACACACACACACACACACACACACACAGAGTTTTCGTCATTATAGACTGTAGAACACTCTAACACTGGAAATTTGGCAGGTACCCAACCTGATTCAAGTCAAGTGTTGAAATTTCTGTTCAAGAAATTACAGCCCAGCCCTCACCTGGCAGGTCAGGTACAGAATCAAAGCTCTACCGCAAACCAGTGGGTGATGTCACTGTGGCTACGTTCTCTTCTTTTATACAGCTGTATCATTTAACTGATCTGTTTCTTAGTCATCACTTTGATCTTCTATTAGACGTGAAGTACCCACTGCTGTACATAATCACATAAATATCTCTTCTTTGAATTATAAGGTAATGACTACCTATATGTAGACAAATCCACACCTACATTTCATGTATCATTCAGATTATCCTCGGCTCCTTAAGTCTTGGGACCTGGTCTGTGTGGATGGATCTCCTGGCTGGCCATGCCTGGTTTCAGCACCTGAACAGCAGACACATGTTCATCAAGACTGAGAGCACAAATTCTTCCCGAAATTAGTTCTCAAACTTTTCAAAGGTCTGCAGGTTGAATCCTGGTTCTGTGTGAAGGAATGTAGAGTTAGAGAAGAGGAGCGAAGTCAAGAGAAAAAAGCATCGAGCTGCGTCTGCAGATTACAGCTGCCGATCAATACCATCGATACCTGAATGTGTTCATACTGAGGACTGATTAAAGACCAGCAGGATGAGAGGTCCTGAGTATGAAAGAAAAGAGAGAGAGAAATCAGGTTACAGAGGAAAAGAGGGAACAGAAAGGCTGTGTGATAAACGGTCAGTGTTTCTGGATGGAGCAGTTGGAAGGTCAAAGGTCAAAGCCACCGGGAGGTTTGATCTATGGCCTGAAGAAGAGAAGAGGATGGAGAGAATGAAAGAAAGACGGAAGAGAGTGTGTGATAGATGCAACAAATAAAACACAAGATAAATAATAATAACACTAAAGACACAGAGACGACAGTTTGTTGTTGCTGTAATTGTTTTTTAACAATTAAAGGACCAGTCCACAGATTTTACACATCAATCAGTTTACTTGTCATATTCACCACTGGTACGACTCAGACTGTGGAAACAGTAGTATCATGTCTTCTGTGGTTCTGGAGGAGCTTTGTCAAGTCATCTAGCCTGTGGAATAACTACAGGTACCAGCCCTGGAAATTAACCTGACTCCTGTCTGACTGCTGAGCGTGGACACTTCCTGTGTCTGTCCTTTCAAATTACAGTCACACATGGTCCAGTCATATAGGTTTGGATTTATTTTGACAAGGCGCAGCTCCTGATAGAGTTTCACTTTGGTTTTTTACTGCGACTAAAGCCTAGTCTACCACCCTGATTTTGCGTCGCGGAGACTATCGTAATCTTCTGAGTGTTCATACCTGGCGACGTGTATTTCTGTCAGTGGGAGCCTCACCAACAGCGTTACGACCTGTGTGTGCACACCACAAGATCTCTCCACAGAGCCCTAGCCGACAGAGCCCCAGATAACGCAGTGACGTCACCAAACTATGTTTTTTAACTTGGAGACGACACATCGTAAAGGCATGGATATTCTTCCCAGTGTTGAATCAGATCTGCCTCCAGGGCCTGGGTCCAAACACAACACGCTCCCCATGATCCTGTGGATGCCGCCATTGTTGTTGTTGCTTGCCGGCTTGTCAGTGTTGCCAGATCTTGGGAGAGAAACAAGCAACCAGGGCTATGGAAACAAGCCCAAAAGAAGCGATGGATATATATAGAGAGAGAGGAAGGAGATGTTTAGAGAGCAAGCCCAAATAAGCAACTCCACTTTAGAAACAAGCCTAAAGTCGCGGCTAATAAGCGGACCTGGCAACCATCTCATTGGCTGATGCTCTTTGTCAGTCGTGTTAGACTTCTCCAGTTTTCTAGCATGCCAGATATCCAGTCCCAGTCACAGACGAGGGGGCGACTTGCTCGTAGGCTTGTTCACACATGAGGACTCGTAGTGGCAGACTATCTGCAGACTCACCTCCGACCCAAGGTGGCTCTCAAGATCCTCTGAGGTGAAAATCTTGTAATGTGAACTAGGCTTGAGCAACCAATAAAAATTGGCCAACTAATGACCTTTCTGGTTGACGAAAGTTTGGTTGACAAATATTAGGGGGCAGCCCTAGATACAAGTTATATTCATAGTGATTAAAATAGATAACTTGATGATAGGCATGCTTTTTTGTTCATTCCAGGGACGCTTCTGAGAGGTGCTGTTCCTAGAATAAAAAGATCGGCTAGAGTGGCTGCAATCAGGTTGCGTTCACAGCTTGGTGTATTTTTCTAGTCTGTATATGCATATTCATTTATTCACTCTGAATCTTCTTTATTGTGTTGCATTGTACTGGGCAACAAGTGTCACTGTTACCACTTTATTTCTGTGCTGCTGTTTTCTGTATGTTTATCCCTCCTTGAGGGGTCATCGTGGAATAAAGGAAAGTCTAAAAAGCAGCAGGAGGTTCGGTCTCTTTGGTCTTAGATTTTCTTATTGATCGACTGAGCGAGGCAGCCATCCAAATTCTCTCTCTGTGTGTCTTTATACACTTTACTGCTCTCTCTTCTCTGTGTGCTTCTTTCTTTCTGCCCCTCTGCCTTCCCAAATGAATCCTCTTTAAAATCACCACATATTCGTCTTGGAAATCAGTTTCTCCTCACCATGATCGTAGAGTTTGTACGAGTTTTCTCATGTAGTCAAAAAGGCTTTTTTTTTTTTTTTTTGTGAAATATCTTAAAGTGAATATTTTCCCAGGACTGTTTTTCCCATCAGAGGTGTTTTTGTTGCTCTGGATGTGAAAGTTTTGTCGAGATCAGAAAGTCGTGTTGTGTATTTATCCATTATTGATGTTCCCAAAAGTTCCTGCGATTCAGCTGCGAGTGTTTTTTTTTTTTTTCTCCTCAAGATAAAAAGATTATCAAAAGATCTGCGGTTGTTTATAATCGATTCGATCTCACAGCTGGATGGGAGAGGGTTTGAGGGGAAAAATACCTCATTTTACAGCGACCACACTGATACGACCCAGATACAGATACAGGAACACGGCTGGTTCACAAGTCTGTCTTCAAAATAAAAAACACATCGCCCTGGTTTGAGCGCAGCATTTTCTCACAGCCTTGAATAAAAAAAACTGCAACACCTTTCATCAGTTAAAACATTATGGATTTTAGAGAGTCCTTAAATGCAGCATTAAGGAGGGTTTCATTAAATTAATGGCAGCAACCCTCTTAAGCACACACACAGTGTTTTGGGCTCTTTCTTCCGAATTTTTCAAAACGTTTTTTGAAAATCTGGTTAAAGAGAAATGCAAAAATAAGATTATTTATTGTGTGAGTATACAGCTTATTACGGCAGCAAATACACTTTAAAAGAAAGGTAATGCCACCTCGATTTTCATTTTAACAAAATGAGTAAAGTTTATGATTACGTTTATGTACAAAGTTGCAGCAGGCAAAGATGACAGTCTTGACTAAATATCAAAAAAGCAAACATCCCTTTCCCCGCCACCGCCATCCATCATCTTTCCCTCACCTGAATGAAGTTTCGCCTAATGCCTAGACCACACCTCCTATTTCTACCTGTGCGTGATGGCTGCCTTGCTGAACTGCTGCAGCTTGCACATGTGGGGTGCTCACACAGACAGTGTGGCTGCTGCTACATTGAGTTTGCCTTTGATAATGGCCAACAGTATTTTACAAACGTGTTATCACATGAGGGGATTTTATCCACAGAAATGCTAGAGGGCTTTTTCTTTGAAATGGTAACAGGAAGTGTTTCAAGTCTGTAAGATATTATTATTATTATTATTATTATTATTATTAATCTTTATTTAACCAGGAAGGGTCCCATTGAGTTACAGTAACTCTTCTTCCAGGGAGTCCTGGCCAAGACTGGCACCAAAAGTTACAAGTACACAAAAGACAAGACAATGGACACATACTAAAACCACGAGAACACAAGTCTCACATACTAAACATACTAGAACACAAAGTCAATGAGAACACATTACACTCAGTAAGACACATAACAAGGCAAAACAGACATACTATTGAAAGGCACCAAGTTAGAAGCAGTGACACTTCAGTAATGGTTGATTTTAAAAGGTTTTTAAATATGTTGAAAGGTGGAAGTGACTCCAGATTTAAGGTGTTTTGGAGTTCATTCCAGGCGTATGGTGCATATGAAGAGAAAGCTGTTTTACTGAGTTCTGTTCTTGTTGAAGGAGTGGTTAATAGTATTTTTTCTGATGAACGTTGTAAACACTGGTATGATATGTAAGCAGATTTAAAATGTAGAGAAGTAATTTACCCTTTTGCAATAAAAAGTAACAAATGAAATTTCCTTCTAAGGGATAGAGAGGTCCATTGTACCATTTCATACAGAGTGCAATGGTGAGTCCTAGCTGCTGCACCTGTAACAAAACACAAGGCTGAATGATATAGAACATCTAGTTTTTAATAAAGAGGAAGAAGAATGCATATAAATTAGGTCACCATAATCTAACACTGATAAGAATGTGCTCTGCACCATCTTTTCCTCGCTGAGTATGGCATCTCTTTAGTCTAAAGTAAAAACTTAACTTAGGTCTGAGTTTTTTTAAAAGGCTCTCAATATGGACCCCAAAGGATAATTTGTCATCCAGCCAAATACCTAGGTATTTGTAGGAGGTTACCCTCTCTATTGGAGTACCATTTTGTGTTAAAATCTCATAATCAGGAGAACGTGAGCGTGTGAAAACCATGGATTTTTTTTTTTTTTTTTTTTTTTTAGCATTTAATACCAACTTTAAACCTACAAGGGATTTTTGTACCTGATTAAAGGCAGACTGTAAGTAGTTCATTGCCTCTTGCAATGATGTCGCAGAGGTGTACAATATTGTGTCATCTGCATAAAGATGAGCTTTTGTTGGATCTAAATCCATACCTAAATTATTTACATAAATAAAAAATAAAATAGGACCCAGAACTGATCCTTGGGGGACACCCATTTTTACTGCTAGTAAGGAAGAGGTACAGTTATCTATAGCCACACACTGAGTTCTAACACTGACATCATATTGTACAGATAAAGAGGTTAAAACTGCAATGAAAGGTGTCTTGTGGCTGGTATGATGTCAGTAAGATCATCATCAGATCATTGTCACTGTCTGTTTATGCTGCCAACTGCACATCATGAAAAAAAAAAAAAAACCCGAGACATTCCAAATCTCAGCTGAGCCGCAGCCAATCTATGCCTGGATTCCACTGAGCAAAGTGTTCCAGCTGCGATGAGGCCATCGGACCTGATCGCAGCCACTCAGTACATTTACTTGACATTAGAGGAAATCAATTTATTGTGTTAGTGCGACTAAGACCAGGGATAATTGGTCGTGAACCAACATGTAGTTTGTCATGTCAGTCAGCCAAGTCCACGGCACAATTTTA